AACTACCCATGGTCTTAACTTTCTTTGGAGATATGCTAAAAATCTCTTGAAATTATGCCCAAAGATTAAAACAGGGCTGTATAAAGGATTGAACTGAATTGAATTAAACTTCAACCTAATTCGAAGTCTGTTCTATTTTATGAAAAAGATTTAGATACCCCATAGTCTAATCTGGTTCAGTGATAACTCGAAGATTAATAAGATCGAACTTGGTTCATAAGACTGGAAGACTGATCATATTAGTCTAATATTCACTTAACTTTTTTTTTTATTTTTTCTCTATGAGAGGCAATAATCAATTGCAACCTAATAAATTCAATTAAAATAATTAAAACATTTACAATCATCATAAATTCATAATAATTTCTGAAAATAAGAAAAAAATATTTCAATTATAGTCCACGTGGTCCAAATTATTAAATTATTAGTCTGAGTGTGTGACTTTGCGAGGAACCAGACTTATTAAATTATTATTAGTCTTAACTTATTATTATAAATAATTAGTAAATTAATTATAATCATATTAAATAAATTTAATAGGAACAGATTAGACTAAATGATCAAGATGCCTAATCTCTTGTCCACTTCAACTCGAATAAACAGTCTAATCTTTTTAGTTCTAAAGGATCAATTTTTAATAGGACTAGATAATATTGGACCTTCTTGGATCTAATTGAGTCAAATAAAACTGGAGGACTTCTACATAGCCCTATATTAAGGGAAATTCAATGACCAAGTGCATTAAAATAATTAAAAAAGGATTGCATGAATTGACCAAAATGTCCCTGTGCCTTTAGCAAAGCCGCTTCCATTGTTCATTGTGTCTACGTCCTCTCGCTTCCTTGTCATTGTGTCTAAAATGTTGCTTTTACTAATCCACACTTAGCTACTAACCCTAATAGTAATTAAGGGATTACCATCTCATAAGAGACATTGTAAGTTTTCAAAATATTGAAAATAATATAAATGTGATCTTAAGTTTTCAAGCTTTAAACCACAATAATAAATTTTTTATAAACTAAAATCAGAGTAAAATATATTTATAAAAGCATGAGATGCCCTGTCTTGCCACAATTCTTAGCTTACCTCACATGACCTTAAAAGAGGTAATATCAAAGGGCGCCAACTGCTGGTGGTAATCCGGCCGCATCTTTTCTAGTATCCGTTCGGCCTTCCACTGGTTATCATCATAGTTCCTCAAATATGTTGAGTATTTTGACAACTCGATAAATTTAGCTATAAATTTCTCCTCATTCATGTTTACCTACTGAAGTCTATGAAACTTTGCTTTATTCTCAGCTTTAAAGGATGCAGGGAAATAGTATGCAAAGAACCTTCTCTTGAATTCTTTCCATGCCAATAGAGAGCCATTAGCAGGCTTAACACTTTCACTGTTTTGCAGCATCTTCCAGCATAACTGTAGCTAGTAAAACCCACCACTTGGGTGTGCATGACATCATAAAAAATATAGTCTTGAATTGATCAATCCACTTGTCCCTAGCTCTATTCTCCATTAAACTCACGGATGATGGATGATTCAATCTCATGAATCTCTTTAAAGCAAGCTCAATAAATCTCTCAAGCTCTTTCCCCTTAGGCCTCATTAGCTCCGACCTCCTCAACACACTCTCTTCAAAATAATCTTCCTTTAGGTAGCCACATGCCTACCATGCAAATTATCATATTTCTCCTCATCTTATCCACAGTCTTACTGCTTTCACCAGGTCCTTTTTTGAGGATCTTATCATGCACCTCAATTTTCTTTTGTATTCCCATCATCATTCTCTTTAATTCTTGCAAGATGTCATCATTCCTGCAGTAGGTCTTGGTTGTTCCCTTCCTTGTACACTTGACTCCAAAACTTCCCGTCCTACTCTCTCTTCTTCTAATCTGTCATGTTCCAGTCTTGGGATATTCTCTAGAACATTGCCGGTAGCTATCACCTTGCTACCTCATACCATTATTGCCTCCTAATTATGAAAGTAATCTTGAAAGTGAAAAAAAAAATTAGTTACTAGCTCGACAAAGGGAAAACACATGTGTATGATAATAATTGCCAACTTTATATATAAATGCAACGAGGCCAATTCTTGAAACTCGAATACCTGATACCAAGTTGTAAAGTTATCTTTATTAATCCACATTTAACCACTAACCCAATGGTAATCAAAGGATTAACTCAAACGAATTACCATCTCATAAGAAAAATCATAAAATTTCAAAAATATTGAAAGTAATAGAAATGGGATTCCAAGTTTTTAAACTTTAAAATACAATAATAAATATTTTATAAACCAAAATCAAAGTAAAAGATATTCATGAATGCAAGGGATGCCAATTTATTTTCAAAATATTTGCTTTTAAGTTAAACAACAACATTCCAATTCAAAATTAAAGGATGCGCTGTGACTTGTCACACATGTGCCCGACACTTTTCTCTCTATGCCATATGTCACAATGTATTGTATAAAATGACAATATTAATGCTATCAAATTGATAGCATTTAGGGTGAATTTCCAACTTGTTCTTTTTTCAGGGTGAAGACAACCTCACAGACTTCTATGAGATAGAGGGTAAATAAGAAGAAGACACAGGACCTTGGGAGACATGTGAGATGCAAACACAAAGATCTCAAGAAGGGATGAATTGAAGCAAATTAGTAACTAAACAGAGGAGAAGAAGAGCTATGAGGAGAAGCTTGAGCTTTACTACATAGTTACCCAATATGCCAGGAAGAAGCTTCTTCTCTCTCTTTTGCTATTGTTTGCAAAGTGTTGAGGGGAGAGAAAGAGGAAGTGGAAGGCCCGATGAAAAAAGGGACAATTCATTCGATTCTTTAGAGGCTTTTCTAAATATTGTAATAAATTTAGTCTTTAAATTCCTCTTGATCATTGAACATAATTTCCCTTTCAATCAAATCTTTTTTAACAATTCTCCCTACTTTCTTCCTTTGGAACAACTCAATATCATATATTATTTAATAGGTTAAAATGTAAAAATACCTATTAAGTGATCGATTAGGAGCATCCAATAATCTAAAATGAAAAAAAGGGTAAAAATATCATTAACATTATCAAAATTAGTGTAAAAGTGACCAAACCATTAATTTTACCCTAGCACCATTAGGTTTTCATGTTAAATGCTGATTGTGCTTGCCACATATAAGTTTTTACTGACATGGATTAAAAAAGGGACAAAAATACCCATGAAATTGTTAGCCAATAGCATCAAGTAGCCTAAAGTGAGAAAAAAGATAAAAATACTTATAACATTATCAAAAGTGGGCAAAATTGATCAATCCATCAAATCTTTTAAATATTGACTGTTTAAATGACACTTAAATAAAAGTAGACCATTTTTTTCGCTAGCTATGAGCACAAAATATTCTCAAATGAAATTATATGGAGGTTAATCAATCATCATATGAATATCATGTAAAAAAATTTCATTTTAACTAAACCACAAGTTAACTTCTTTGTAGCAGTGATAAAATCATTTAAAAATTTTAAATCTATTATAAATAAAATTGGTTAAGATTATAACAACATTCTTAGAATAGGTGACATAAGAAGTGTGTTTACTTTTAATTTTCGATTGTATATAACCTATCTCACTATATTAAATTTTAAATTTTATATATAAAAAAATGAGTGAAGAGGGAGAAAAAAAAAAGAGTGTAATACGTCAGCTAAAAAATAAAATTTGATGGTGTACCTCATCAATCAACTTTCATAAAAATTAAAAAGTGAATGTTATTAGAAGGTTTAAAATGCCATTTGCCCGTGAAATGGTGCTGAAGAATCGGGATCTGAGTGGGAACTGAGAAAACTCATAATGTCAAACCGCACCAACGTTTCAGAAATAAAGCAGCAATTAAGGACGAACGACCTCCCCCATGCCTGTGGTTAGGACATACTATGAAAATTGGGGTCAACTAACTCTTTAAACTTATAAATAATTAAATAAAATATTGTATATATGACCAACCTATTCACCGTTTAACTATAATTTTAATCCTTAATTCTTAAATTAAATCTTTTAATTGGTTAATGCTTGCTTTAGAGTTTAAAACATCAAAAGAGTACCCTCTCCTCTGCACAGTACTAATACAGTAAAAGAAGTTCCATCGAAATCAAAAACACCCAAAACCAGTGCTACGCTGGTTGACTGGACCCTGCCCTCATTTATAGGTTTTCTGTAGCCCATGTTCATCGCAAGAGAACACATGAATAAAGACCAGCAAATCACATTACAGACCACTTAAACAAAACAAATTTCCAATTTTATTATCATATAAAAACGAAAATTTTATAAAATCACAGAAATATATATCACACAATGCTAGACATAGGTGGACAACACCGCCAGGCCGATGCTCTCATCCTCATCTTCACGGAAACAATATTTTAATGTTAATTTTCAACATGGTCCATCTGCTTGCTTTCCAAAACCGAATATTAAATACAGTGAACTGATCCATAAAAGGAAAGTGCCATATCCCCCTCAACCCCGCTACTGGATATGCTATATATATAAAAAATCAAGTTAGATTACCATGTTTTCAGAGATCATCTTCTAGAAAATTGTAAGGATTAGATTCGGCTAAGCCACTAATAAAATAACACTAGCCAACACGCCTTCCAATCCTCAAGTACAAAAGCATGCATGCTTAATTGGAAAGAATAACACAAAGGCGTCAAATTAAAATAATACCTTGTCTTTAGGAATCATGGGCCTCGTCCCCATCCCTGATCAAAACTTTCCTTATTGATTAATTAATTAATTAAAATCCATATAACTTCATCGGATATCATTGAAAATGGCAAAACCTTGCATTTTAAGACACTTCCTAATGTACCATTTACTTGATAATTTAAATGCACTTCCCCCCTTAGAGTAGATTAAATTAAAGAATGGCACTGCACAGTTCGAAACCGACCTACTCTTCTAAAAATCCACGTAACAACACTTTCTGCCTCTTTCTCTCGGACACAAGTCAGGATACGTATAAGATTATCAGATTCTCTATTTTTTCCCACTAGAACAGTACTACAAGAAGAAATGAGAAAGAACTCCTAAGTTCAGTGTCCAAAAGCCCCCCAAGCAAACCCCACCCAAAACTGGGCAAGAACGTGCAAAGGGGTCGAAAGTCAGAACTAAAATCTACCGATTTTCATAGGAAGCATTTGATGAGCAGCAAAATAATAGAAACCCAGAAAATAAATTCCCTCGGGATATAGATCTCACTCATGTTAATTATCCTTGAGGTGATTCATAATCTCATTAATAAAAGCTAGGGAAAAAAAAAGAAAAAAGAGAAAGAAACGACTAATTAACTGGCACCAGCTTACTCTTAACTAATATATTATTTTCCTTCTTATTCTCCACCCAAGTTTAAGAAGATGAAGACGACCCATTAGCACCGGCGTTCGCCCCACTATCGTTCTGGTAGTGATGATTTGGACCCTGGGCGCTGCCGTTGTTGTTATTGTTGGCGTCGATTTCATGGTTGTGATTGTTGTTCTCGTCTAGCTCGAGAGCATTTCTATTCCCATTCGTCGCATCTTTCTTCCCAAAAGTATTCTTATTATTATGCATCCAAACCTTCAAAACACCTCTATCCACCCCGACCTCGTGGCAGAACTCTTGCACCAATTCGTCGTCTCTCTTCTGCATCTTCCACCCCACTCTCTCAGCGAACTGGTACATTTTATCCTTCTGTTCTTGCGTGAACTTGGTCCTGAATCGCTTCCTCGAATTCAAATTCGGCGTCCCCAAAGCATTCACCGGAGCGGCCGTGCTCTCCGGATGGGCCGATAAACCGGCGGAGAGAGCCAGGAGCATGTGGGGTGCAGAGGGATAGTAGGAAGAAGAGATCGGGGGCGGGGAAGCTGAATTGGGGCTCCGATTCGGAGCCTGAAACGGCGGGGGTGGCGGAGGGTGGTGCCGATGGTGGGGCTGAAACTCGATAACGTGGGTCGCAGTGGGCTCCTCGGGTTCGCGGCGATGGAAATTGCGGTGACAACCGCAGGCGGCGCATTTGATGGAGCTGGGGTCGGCAGAATTGGCGTTAGGAGAAGGCATGAATTCGCCACAACCGTCGAGCGCGTGGCCTCCCAAGCTGGCTGCATGGTTTTTCAAGCATTCTTTGTAGATGGCCGCAACGGGCTGTTTGTGGTGTGCATGGTGGCGCTTGAGGACGCCGTTGGAGAAGAAGGACTTGGAGGGGGCGGGTTGGATCCGGGTCGGAATTTCAGTGTCAGGTTCCGGAGATTTCGCAGCGGTAGAATTGGAGGCGGCGATGTTGGTGACCGGTGCGGAGCTCAAGTCCATGGCTCAAACATCTAGGGTCATGAAAAGGAAAATCAATCCTTGGGTTTAAGGGGTGATTAGGGTTAGGCTTTTGTGGAGGTTAGGAATCTATGTGACAGTTGGTGGGAGAGGCAATATCGTGATATCCGCGGAAATTGAAGTAATGGAAGTTGCGAAGCTAAGAAGAAGAGGAAGGGGGAAGAGAAGGGGGAAGAAGGAGATGACGGGTGTTGAGGGGGATGACTGTTGATAATAGAAATCTGGGTTATGTGGTTGTGCTTCTTAACCACTTATGTTTTTTAAACCCTGGTTCTAATCTATGGTTAAGAGGCAGACCCCACATGGGGTTAGAGGGAGAGGAATGGGGAAATATAACTCCCGATTGCCAAGTAAATGATTGGGGAAGGAAATGGAAATTGGAATGGAAATGAAAATGGGGAGAGCGATTTAATTTATTGGGGAAAGAAGAGGCTGAATTGGGGTAGGGGCTTAAAGTATTTAAAAAGCAATAATGAGTGGGTCAGTGCGGAGTTGACTGTGGGGTAAGTTTCTTGCATGGGGTTGGAAGAGCCTGCAATTCTGAACCATTTACTGCTCTCCCATCTTAATTTGTCAAGTTGGCAGCCAAGCAAGCAAGCACCCTACAGCTTTCACTGTAACATCACTCATCTTTTCTTTTCTTCTTTTTATTTTCCCGTTTGTCTTTTACCCCGTTCCCGGGCGGATTTCATAGCTGGTGAAGTGAAACGAAAAGTAAAAGATGCGTTAGCAAAATAAAAATCGGAAAGAAAATATTTTTTAATATAAAAAAATCATGATAAAACCGTTCAATTCAAGGACAAGAGAACCAACAGTAATTAGACAAAAAAAATAGAAAGACGTCCTCATTTACATGATGGTTGTTTTAAGCTAACTGATTTGTACAAAAGTCCATTAATCTAAATACATGGTTATAAGTGACTGACAGTGTTTATTAGTGGATATTAAGTGGAGTAATTGAAGAAACCAAAATAAGAATTTACTTATCAATTGAAAGAATGTTAAGGAAGCGGCAGCAGCAGCACGAAGACCTGTTGCTGCTCGCTGCCAACAAATAGAGGGGGGTGGAGTTTGAAATTCGTTTCCATATACTTATTATTCTTTTAATGCGGATATTTAAAAATTTCTGTGACCGTGAAAGTTTCAAATGATTTGGGCTCATGTCTTTTACAACATGTGAACGGGGAGGAGAAAATCCAACTCGTCTCCCCCCCCCCCCCAAAAAAAAAATAAATGATACGTTTTATTAATTTGTCTTCTTTGTTGAAGCTGGTGCTGGTCCTCTGTCATCCGACTTCTTTCTGGATAACACTTGATAGATTTTTTATGTAAAAGATTCAGTGTTTTTATAAATTAAACATCTAAAGGTAACTTTCTCTTTGCGTTTAGGGAAATTAAGATATTTATAAATATATATACCCTCACACACACACACAGTTAATCTATTTTCAGCCTGTTTGTTTTCAACGTTCGTGTTCTTTTCTTTTCTTTTTCTGGGGAAGAATTTCGGAGCTCATTTTGGAGACATGGAAAATTAAAGCTTTTGTTAAAAGTCCATTTCAACCCTAAAATTGGCGGGCTCTTCATAAACAAGTCAATCCTGAGTTTTTTTTTTTTTTAATAAAAGAGGTACGAAGGTCCAACAAAAACCACAAAGAAATTAGGTTATAACTTGAGATTTATTCTTTTCATCATTTACTACTTCTTTGCAGAAAGGTTAATTAAAAGTACAAAAGCTACTGACATAATCTAAAGCATCCTTAGCAATTAAATGGACATAAAAATTAACTTCGTGACACATGAAATTCAAAGAAAGTGTACAAGGATGCCTTAAACAATTCCTTATCTACTCAATAATATCTGTCATTAAACAGGTGATGACTCACATGTAATCAAATTAATTGCCTCAGCCCCAAGTTTGGAATTTTCTTTTAAAGAAAAAAAAAGAAAAAGGAAAACGGGGAAAACAACTGAAGTGAGGGCAGTGGCAGATATGTAATTTGGGTAACAGTGAGGGGCGTGCAGGAGGAGATTGTAGGAAGGCAACATGGATACGAAAGGAAGGGATCTTGGTGGGGATGAGTCGATGAGAGAAATCGGGGACAATGTAGGGAGGAAAACGACGACGCTTAAGTGAACGAGGATGTGCCCGGTTACACCCGACAAAAGGAGAAGCACTTCCCGGAACGATACCGTAGAAGCTGTACGTTTGCTCATTTATTGGGACTTGAAAGCAAATGGGCGTCCCGGCTTAGCCACATATATGGGGCGCTTTTGGAACGTCCGGCGTCTTGCTCAACTCTTCAACTATAGTTAATTTTTTTAAAAAAAATTAATCTTTCAGTTTTTCAATTATAATTTACTTTGACTCAATTCCTCAACTTTTAACTCACTTATAATTTAGTTATTATTTTTCAAAATTTTTAAAAAATTATCCTTATTAAATAAGAAGAATGAAAGAAATGTACATATCTTATTCTAAAATATTATTTTCTTGCTCTTTAATGTCGGATCTAAATTAATATGAAAAAAAGAACTAATAAAAGTTAAGAGATTAAGTCATACATGTATTAATAGTTGATTAACGAAATCATAAACAAGTCAAAAGTTAAGGAATTGAGTCATACATGAATTAATAGTTAAAGAATTAAATTATAAACAAGTTAAAAATTGAGTGATTGAGTCACAGTAAATTATAATTAAATAAAAAATGAATTAAAAGTTGAAAGTATAAAAAATAACTTTTTTTAATCACAAGTTTTTTTTTATTAAAAATAATCTTATTTAAGATATTATCAAATATTAAATATAAATAATTTTCACAATGACAATTTGAATTCTTTTCTTTCTTTTTGGTCAAATTGAATTTCAATTTGTCACTTGTGAGAGGCTCCTAACCTTGGTTAACCATGTTTAAAACTTAAAACCAAAAAAAGGAAGCAAGATAAGCAAGACGAGCTCCCTAATTCCGCGACACGTGTGCAGAAAGTGCCACGTGCCTCCACCCGCTGATAAGAGTCAAATTTTAATAACGCAGGTCATTGGCCTTGAACCCAGGGCTGCTGGGGAATGATAGGGCGGGCGCGCACTGCATTATTAGTTTTATCACACAGTGAAAGCTGAGCCCACAGTCGCGTGCAGTAAATAAATAAAATATTTTCAATCAAATGGTACAAATCAATGAAAATTAATTATCTAATTAAAAATATAATAACATTTTAATTTTATTCTTAATTATTATAAATAAAAAATAATTTTTTTAAAATAAATTAATGAAAATTTTTAATTTAATAAGAGTATAATAATTCATTTATTAAAAAATATGTTAATAAATTTTTATATTTAAAAATAAAAAAATATTTTAAAAAATTTACTACCTCCATCCCAAATTATAGGGTACTTTTGAAAGAATTTTTTTATCTAAAAATCTAAAATATTTAAGTAGATTAAAATTTTATTAAATACGTCAATTTTAATATTACCCTTTCTCTCTCTATAATTTTTGTTCCTTTTTTTAACATTATAAATAATGGATATTTTTAAAAATTTATATTTTAATTTTTAAAAAATAAAATTGTTAAATATATTTAATGAGATTTATTACTATATAAAATTTTATTTAAAAATATTTTATAATTTAAAATAAAAAGAATAATATATATATATATATATATATAAAAACAGAAGAGTAATATACTAGTTGTACTCATATTTGCCTTTGCCATTGTGCATGTGATCTTTGTCAAAATATTTTCACAGAAACGATTGCATAATAAAATGTAACGCAGGATTACTGGCACCAGCAGGTTGTTTCATTCAAGGAAAAAAGAAACTATTTTTTGAGGGGATGACGCGAGTAAACTAATAATGAAGGATTAGAGGTTGAATCATGAAATGCGTGCAAAGAAGCGCCGCATTGAAACTCGCAAAGCGGGTCATCTTGTTAGGGAAGAACCGAAGAAGGCTTTTGACTTTGAATGCCCCTGAGATCCTGCTTACAATTTCTTATCTTATTTGATTTCCTAAAATGATATATTCATTTTCCATCACACGTTTCTTTAATCATTCATTCAATGAAAAATAAAATAAAACGTGGCCGGGCTCTCGCGTTATTTCAGTTGGGGGCTAATTTTAATTTGAGCCTGGCAGTGAGTAGGGACTTACTTTGAAGTCTAGCCATAATAATGGAATGCTTGCGCTAGAGAGAAGTGGGTGGGCGAGAGAAGGACAGCGTCCCATGCTTATGTTTGAATCAACAAGGGTAGATTAACAAGGCAACCAACCTAAGCTTAGATGTTTATTATTTTAATCATGTGGTAACTCGGGTGTTTGTTCAGAGAATAATTACTCTAATCATAGGGATATCATCTTTGCTTGTGATCCCAACTTTCTCTGATTTATTTAGGGGCTTAGGGGGAGAAATAACCTGCTTTATTACGGAGTTAGTAACGTGCACATTTCTGCCTCTTTGCCATGTTTTGAGGTTTTTTGTTCATTAAAGTGCCCTGCTTATCATTGTATTTTTATATTTATCTTTATCTAATAAAATATCTTAATCTCAAAATAAAAAATCTTATTAATTATACCTGTTAATTAAAGATATTTTTGAAGAAAAAACATTAACTCCATCTCAAAAGATTCCAAATATCTTATACTCCCTTCATCCCACATTATAAGATACTTTTAAAGGAAATTTGACATCTCAAAAAATTAGACACTTTAATAAAAATAATATTTCATGTTTTTCTAATATTATTCTTATCATTATATTCTCTCTCTTTTAATATTTTTTTTATAAATATAGTATTAAATGAAGGGTATTTTTAAAATTTTATATTTTTATTTTAAAAAAATAAAGTTGTAAAATGTATTTAATGAACTTTATTAATATGTGTGATTTTATTTAAAAATATTATATAATTTGAGAGGGAGAGAGTATTTTTTAACACCTTACTTTAAAAAAATATTTCATATTTTTTTTAACACATGAAGTATATCTTAACCGGGTATTTTATTCCTTCGCTCAATTTATATTCCTGGAAATACACCACATTCTACCACAACCCTTCAGGCCAATTGAGGAACAAAAGAAACTGGTTTCTTTTGTTGTTGTAATATTAAAATGTCACATATCAATATGTGAAAAGAATATGCTATTAATCAACATGTTCATATTTTTCCTTTAAAAGTAAAACAAGTGATTTTTTTTTTTTTTTGCTAGAAAAATCAGAACGTTACTCTCAAGAGTTATTCTGATACGCATGATAAAAAAATATAACAAGCAATTAGCAGCCATTTATATAAGCTAATTAGAATGGAATCCATTTTTATTTCAACGTGGCTCGTTATTGTACGCACAAGCCATTTTTCTTTTTGACTAC